TTACTGATTAAATATATATTAATTTTAATTAAAAACAATTTTATCAAAAAAAAAATTTAAATGTAATTATTTTTTTTGTAAATGTAAGTATTTTTTTTTGTTATATTTTTTTAATTTTATAGATCTAAATCATTTTTTGTTCAGAAAATGTTTAGGGACTTAATCGTTTAGAATATGAATGTTCATTGGGTTTTTTTCGGACTTTTTTCATTATTTGACCACATTAACTAGTTGTACAGATCATAAGAATGTATTCAACAGGTTTTAGAAAAATCCAAAGAGTTATTTAACATATTTTGGATTGTCCAAGAATTTATTTGTTCTAAAAAATTGTTCAATGAGTTATATAACATGTTTTAAATTGTCCAATGAGTTATTTAATATGTTTTGGAATGTCCAAAGACTTATTTGTTCCAAAAAATTATCCAAAAACTTAATCAATACAAACACTAAAGTCCATTACGTTTTTTTAGATTTTTTTCCTAATTAAAAAGGAAAAGCGATATTTTAAATTTAAATGGAAAAAAATGAAAAATAGTAGAGAGAGAGAAAAAAGTTGGGTGACCTATTTAAATCATGCTTCCTGTAAACAACGTGAAACAGATCTCTCTCTCTCTCTCTCTCTCAGAAGCCTTATATTCCCCTTCTCCGGTGACCTCCCTCCGATCAAACTCAAAAGATCGTGCCTCAGGCCTTCCATCCAACAAAAAATTCAACCAATATTACTATTCAAATCATAAAATATTTTCATTCATATAAATTACTCATTATTTGAAATTTGTTCCCCAACAAACCAGATCAATGGACGGTATATGTTTGAAACCGGGGTTTATCGGGATCACCACCACTCCGATCACCGCCGCCGGTGATATTCGTAAAAACCCATCTCAAATTACCACCGCCATCAGCCGTACGACCGCAAGTGCGATTTCATCGGAGAAACCGTCAGTATCAGGTTCTCCTTCTCCTCGAACAACATCCCCATGGGGTTTTTCTCTAAAGTTCCCTCTCACTTCTTTGTTCGTCGGTAATCGGAACCGCTACGATGCGTTGGCCGTCGACGACGCCGTTTCGGTTGATAGAAAAGAAGAAACCAAGGAAGAAATTGAATCTGACGGGAAAAACGAGAATTGGGTGTTGAAAATTCTTCATGTCAGATCTATGTGGAATGAAACGAAAGACAGTAGGATCAAAGAGGAAGATCAACAAGGTGAAAATCTTTCGGTGGATCATGAATTCAATCACCAAGACGAGGTTTCTTTGGATGAAGAAGAGTGTGATGCGTGTAGGGTTGATGATGACGATGACGACAAAATTGAATTCGATAAAAATTCCTTTTCAAAACTGCTTAGGAGGGTTTCTCTGGCTGAAGCAAGGCTGTATTGTCAAATGTCTTATTTGGGGAGCTTAGCCTACTCCATACCTAAAATTAAGGTACCCGTATTTAACATCTTCATTACTTTTTGATTTTGTTTTAGTATACAAGCATATGCATACCATCTGTTTGTTGTTTGGGTTTGATTCGACTAATTCCAACGATACTTTAGAAAGTATTATTATTGCACTTCAAAACCAGGGATGTTCCCCCTTTTTGAGGATCTTGTGAAGATGTTAAAGATCTAGGCTTTTTTTATATATTTCTGAACTGAATTTTGGTAATTGTTTTCACATTTGGGACCTTTAGATGCAACAGATGATTGTTTTTAAAGATTTCTTGCAATGTAGTTTGGTATTTGGATTCATAAGGGTACTCTAGAGTTGAATTTCAATCATCCAGCATTAATTGCACATGATCTGCTTCATATTTTTATGATATATGCGTTAGAAAAACAGGATGATGTTGATTTGTTTCATCTTTTTCTTTGTGCAGGCTGGGAATCTCCTGAAACATTATAAGCTCCGTTTTGTTACTTCTTCTCTTGAAAAGAAAGCCCAACTGGCTGCAAAAGCTGGGGTTCAAGAAGGAGAAGACGACACTAAAACGAAAAAAGATCAGACCTTGAAAGCTGAGGATGAAATAGTCTCATTAGATGGTGTTCAAGAAGATGAACAAATAAAAGAAACCATTGAGATTGAAGGGGAGAAGCGTGGTGGTAATCTGATAAGTGCTTCTACAGCTTATCATATTGCTGCATCTGCTGCTTCCTATTTGCATTCACAAACAATGAACATTATTCCTTTCCAGTCTTCAGAAAACAATAAGGGTGACGATCGTATTAGTATGACCACTGACTCGGTGACAGCTGTGGTTGCTGCTAAGGAAGAAGTGAAGCAGGCCGTTGCGGATGATCTCAACTCGATGCATTCATCGCCTTGTGATTGGTTCATATGTGATGATGATGAAAGTAGCACCAGATACTTTGTGATTCAGGTACATTTTTTGTGTTTTCTTGATTTACAAATGATGGGTCAGTTGACAGATTGATGAACATATATGGTGGTTATTGCAGGGCTCTGAATCACTTGCATCATGGCAAGCAAATCTGCTTTTTGAGCCTATTCAATTTGAGGTATGACTTTCTTGAAAATGTGTCATATCTTGTTGAGATAAGTTTGAACCATTTCTTGACATTATTACTGTGATTTCAGGGACTTGATGTAATTGTGCATAGGGGTATATATGAGGCTGCAAAGGGGATTTATGAGCAGATGCTGCCTGAAGTTCATGCACACCTTCAAAGCCACGGAGATTGTGCGAAGTTCCGTTTCACCGGGCATTCTCTTGGCGGAAGCTTATCTTTGCTTGTAAATCTCATGTTGCTGATAAGGGGTCAAGTCCCTCGTTCTTCGTTACTTCCTGTTATAACGTTTGGAGCACCCTCGGTTATGTGTGGAGGCGACCGTTTGCTTCATAAGCTTGGATTGCCAAGGAGTCATCTTCAGGCAATCACAATGCATCGTGACATTGTTCCCCGAGCTTTTTCTTGCAAATATCCAAGTCGTGTAGCCGAGCTTCTCAAGGCAGTAAATGGGAAATTTCGGAATCATCCATGTCTTGATAATCAGGTAGAAAAAGGTTTGCATTTTAATTGTACTCTAAGGTGCATCTCTTGATTCCAACAGTATATTAAACATGTGTGTGTGTGTTTTGTGGCAGAATCTACTGTATGCTCCAATGGGGGAGTTCTTGATTCTGCAACCAGATGCAAAACTTTCTCCAAGCCATGATCTTCTTCCTTCAGGCAGTGGTCTGTATATATTAAGCTCTCCGGTATCAGATGTGATGGAGGCAGAGAAGCAAATGAGAGCTGCACAGTCTGTGTTCTTAAATACACCTCACCCGTTAGAGATTCTGAGTGACCGGTCTGCTTATGGTTCAGAGGGAGCAATTCAGAGAGACCATGACATGGAATCATATTTGGTATCGGTTCAGAGTGTGATCCGTCAAGAGCTTAACCGTGTAAGAAAAACAAGACGGGAACAACGACGACGTGCTTGGTGGCCCCTGGTGGTACGACATGACGAGAATGAGAGGAGTCATCAGTTGACAGGAGTGTTGCAGACGGGAAGCGAGTCATTGAAAAGGTTCACTCGGCTCGTGGCATCGGAACATATGAATTTGCTAGTAATACTGTTGCTCCCCGCTAGATTGTTGGTGGTGGAAGCATGTAATGTGATGAGGCTTGGATGAAGTCCTTCTCCTCCATTTTATCAAGTAAAACATTCATTTATTGTTTAATATTGGTTGGTTCCCCCTGGGAATTATTGTAATATAAAGATGCATGGTAAATATAGCTAAAGATACTCGGGCCTGACGAGCTTAATGGAACTTACAGTGTATTCGATCTAACCATACATGACTATGTGGTGGTAAGCTTTAGGACGAAGCTTTATGTAGAAAGTCTTAAATCTTTTTCAAACCTACTTTTTTATCTATGAAAAGTCTTTTTCAAACAAAAACCTTACCAGTATATATAGACAGATTAATTCACATAAACATTTTTATCTTTAGCTATACAGAAATTAATGGAGAAAATTGAATTTATTTGTATTATGTTGCTTTTTCTTTCTTTAGGAGGTCAAGATATGGGGTGGTTTTGCTTATACGGAAGTAATGGTGGTACAAGGACTTGTTGTGTGTTGAATCAAGTAATATAAGAAAGAGACTAGTTGAGTTGGCGTTTGATGAAGGGGACAAAATAGAGGTCATGGTCATGGTTCTTGATTCATTCCAACAAGTTAGCCACCTCCTTATTTAGCTCATATGGTCGGCTAAAAATTGACCCACTTGCCTTGTGTTGTAGAGTCAGCTTTAGATATGCACCAGCACCACCTTTCTTTTCTCACAAGTGGTTAGATCTTTGCCAACCTAAAGAAAGAGAACACAACCTTTCTTTTCCCACAAGTGGTTAGATATTTGCCATTGCCAACATAAAGAAAAAGATATCAACTTGGTCCATTTAGGCCCATATTTTTTAAGTATTATATCCGACCCTCATCAGATACTCACAAAAAAATGGCCATCCGGATAAACCTCCTTCCTTCCATCCATGTGTTTCTTCATCTCAATAGTTAATCGTCTTGATATCGTTGCTTTAGAAGAAGAAAAAAAAAACAATATTTATCATATGCCTGCCTTGGAGATATATTGATTCATTCACAGCCTCGATGCCTAACCATTTTGATTTCATCATCATGAAAACTATCTTTTTCCGCAAATATACAACCACCGGTATATTAAGGACGCTTCACACCTAGCAGAAGTTGTAATGCAACCATTGCAAACGATTTAAAACACCATTAAACCTTCCTTTTATAACCATCAATATAGGGTGTCCAACACATTGCCTGTTATACAATTGGCATCACTTCCCACAGCAGCAGGAAGGAGCCCAATGCTAGGAAAATGGTAGTAGATTATTTGTCATTGTCAACATAAGAACCATGGGATGAGATGGGTCTAGAGATCAATTTTCCCTGCTAAATACCATGAATGCATTGCAAGACTACCAAAAGACATAATGTTAGCTAGAGATGATAACCCATGAATCATCCCAAACTTCTTGTTCATTGCTGCTAGCTTTGGGTTCACCTTGGCAACCTCTTGGTTCTTTGTCCACCCAACTTCTTCTCCAATGTTCGACTCCCTCTCCACCTTGTGCCTTTGCTTCATCATCTATAACCACAAATTCATCAACATTAGAAGCCACAATTAACCTATGTTCAAGAAAGCCCATTATCCTAACAATCTGAATTTGATAAATCTTGTTCATTGTACATATCCCACAGTGATGAACTGATTCTTTTGCCAAAATCAAACATACAAGGCAGATTTCCTCAAGAGACTGTGTTCCAATTTCCAAATGCAATTATCACATTAAACTGCAAATACGTAATCACATTTGGATTCCAAGCATCAAGGAACTAAAGAAATAAAGAACCATCAGACGATAGCGGTCAATGGCTTAACTTGTCCCCACTATCCTATTTCTTGCTTAGAAAGAATGTAGAAATTAGGGCTATATGCAACTTCACGAGGGTCTTTAAGAGTAAAAAACACAAAGATAACTTGAATTTGGAATGCAAATGGCTTTAGCTAGAGCATAATATACAGAGATGATGCTACTGATATCACGTATACTCATGGAAAACTGGCAATGGTAGTTAAGAGTTGGTTACCTCAATGGTCATGGGAGTAAAGACGAAAAGATTGGTGAGATTGAAGGCGAAAGCAGAGAGCAAAAATCCAAGCTGATACTTTTCAGCAGTTGATGAAGACTTCCATGGATGTGTATACCCAAAACACCCTACCGACACCGCACAGCATATCCCAACCATCATAAAGTAGGCCGGAAACATCTTGCTTTGCAGATTCCCAAACTGATGCCTCGGCAGATTCCTATCAAAATTGAACCCTGATCCATTAATTTCAAAAACTAAAAAGAACACCAACTAGGGCACACGCTTCTGTTAAAATTTCGAAACACAAAATGAACATGGAAATCAAATTTGGGGAGTCTGATCACTAGAACAATGAAGTTTTGAAAACCGATATAGTATGAGTTCGAATATGAATATGAATATGAATATGAAGGCGTTTTTTACTTGAACATGATGATGCCGCCGATGAAGGTGACCCAAAGCGCTGCACCCCAAGCAGTGGAGAAACATAGGAGGTGTGCAAGTTTGACGAAAGTTGTGATCTTTGCTGATTTTGATCCGAAGGTTTCCGGCGAAAAAATGACTCCGATTGCCAAGAAGGCAACGGCGGTGAGAAATCGTGTCATCCAAGCCATGATCTTAGTCTGTGAAACGGATTGAATTTGGAAGATTTCGAAATCTAAAGGGAACAGGAGGAGACGAAGAAGATTGAATTGATCGTAAACCTTACCTAACACAGACTTGGGGGAATTGGGGTCGGACCTTACCTGCCTGTGAGCATTTGCAAAGATACCCTTACAGTTTGTCAGTTTTATATGATCTTCCCCTATACTTTATTCTGTTTAACTCTTTCAATCCATGTCTTTATTTTGTAACACAATATAAAATATCAAGACACCAAAACGTTTGTTTTGTTTTGTTTTATTTCTTTTCTAGGAAGGGATTTGAAGTTGAAACGAATAACAAAGTTGGTTACTCAAATTGTAATGGTTGGAATCGCAGATACTAAAGTGATAATATAGACCTGATTGGGGGGCATTTATATAAATTTGGTCTAAATTGGAGTACAAAGAACCTTCTACTTCTACTTCTAATAGGATTATAAATGGAAAATTGAACGAGAATTTTCCAGAAGACATCAACGAATTCTAATTTGGCTCTATATATCTTTATTTTAATAAAAACAATTGATTCATGTATTTGAGGTGTGTCATGTCCTGCATATCAAATGCATCCTTGTTATAAGTGGAGTTTCATTTATTTTCATGTGTGCGAAGAGTGAAGTCGTTCATAATTTGGATTTTTGAAATGGTTTAATTTCTTAATTTAAGTTATCATAGAAAATATGGTATATGGTTGTAGGGTTGAGAAATGGTTGATGGTGACATTTCTAAAATATCTTGAAATAGAAATATGATAGTGTTTTTTGAATTAGTTATTTATACATTTCCCCCATATCTATACTATATTATAAAGCATTTGACTAAAACTCTTAAAAACTCTTAAACTCTTAAAACTCTTAAACCCGTTCATCCTTATCCGATTTCATCCCATAACTGAATTCGTGTAACTAACTGCAAACAAACACAATCAAATTCAGGATAAACATCTCATTTTAAATATAAAAAATCTAAAATATAATTAGGATAATCATTGAGTTATAACAAAATACTTAATTATTATATTTATAAAATGTTATATTATTACACCAAAAATAAATTATTTTATTATTAAAATAATTTAAATTAAAAAAAAATAATCTATACTATATTATAAAGCATTTGACAAAAACTCTTAAAAACTACTTTTTATACGTAAAGTACTGTTTATTAATG